AATGAATGAGTGGTGAGAGTGACAGACCTGACAGGAGATGACAACCAAATCTGTTTATTAGGAGTTTGTTTGTTAATCACATAAACGCCATGTAATCCCAGATTCAGTGTAATCACACCATTCTGTCCACAATTAGACACCAGATATAGACATACAGTATATTCACTGTCATATCATTCATACATACGTTCAAAGAGACATCACTTTCTTCGAGACCATCACTTGACTCTACAATAGTGTCCAACTGTTCCGTCAAGTGATCCAAAGTGTGGTCAACGATGCGCTCAAACGTCAAGTCATCCAATGGTTGTGTCGATGAACTCATGTGTGCAACGAGTGATGCATTTCGTGTCCATCGGCGACATGTCTTCGCTGTCAACGAGTTCTTCACGGAAGACACGCTTCCAATGAATGCTAGCTTTGCATAACTCCTACAACTCGTGACATTACAAACCAAAGCATAGTTCCTATGATTTCTAATGCAATACACAAATAGTCTTAATTTGAAACTCATTTCATATGACAACAAATGCATTTCCACTCGACTTTCGGTTTCAAAAAATATCATTTGTTTTCAAACCAATAGTACAGTCACTCGTGGGCCACAACTCAACGCATAGACACCACTCACTCTAAATGTCACTTCATTTGTGAACATTATATCAATGAAAACACAGCAATGTATGGCTTAGGGGCGCAACCTATGAGTCCATTTGAATGCCAGTGTCTGTGTTGAGCCCAACGCTACGTCTATGAACTGAAAGCACGTGTTTGTGGTTTGAAAACACATTCAATACTTTTTGGATCAACTCCTCAGTGAAGCACTTCTGCAGAGAGGAATACTAGAGGAATAACAATGGTTTGTATGATAAGAAAGACAATAATACGAGTGAATGAATGAATGGTTGTCTTATAGAGCGAAGCAACGACTGAAGTGAACCCCAAAGCGTATCCATTGGCGGACAACGCGTTGACCACAAAGATCTTCAATGTCTTACAACAGGCCAACAATTATAAACAGCTCAAGAAGGGCGCCAATGAGGGTATGTCTCATGCCGTCAATGATAATGACAATGACAATGCGTGTAATGTCTGTATCTGTATCTGTCTCTGTGTCCATAACAGCCACTAAAACATTGAACAGAAATCTATCGGAACTGATAATAATGGCTGCGGACGCGGAACCGATCGAAATACTGCTTCATTTGCCGCTTCTTTGCGAGGATAAGAACGTGCCCTACGTTTTCGTCATGTCTAAGCACGCGTTGGGTCGGGCGTGTGGAGTGGCCCGACAGGTGATCGCCTGTTCCATCACCACCAACGAGGGCTCGCAACTCAAGCCTCAGATCGAGACACTTCAGCGCGAGATCGAAAAGCTCTTGATTTAGAGATCCATTTGATTCATTTTAATCATTGCCTCAAATATTTTATTATGTAATAAAATTATTTCCGATTTCATTGACTCTTTATTTTTACCATTCATTCACACATGAGTCCAATGGGGAGGGAGTGGACACTGGAAGTTCATATGTGACCATTTGTCCAAATACTGCAACTAATCATTTAATGACCAAATATTAAGTTATATGTACTGACTTACAATTGCTAGTCTAATTACTCTAATCTAATCTACTGTATATTATACCGTATAATTTGAATTGAACCCCTTTTTATAGTGCAACTGTACTGTATTAACAACACTATCCTCTGCGGACATAATTGTCATTAATAGTATAGATTGAATGCTATATTATCAATGGATTACCATTTATGTTACCGATGAGTATCAATAGAATTCTTGAATACTGTATAATAGTATATTAGCGGCATATACTGTACCGACTGCTAGAATATTGAAGGTATACAACGAATATTGTATTAGAATAAGTGCTATCATAGTCATGTCAATCCAATGACATGGTGCTAAACTAGTATTGGTATGTTGATGGTACTTATGGTTTGTATTGAATACAAACTTGTAATATGGGATGAGTTTTGGATGAAAGTTTGGTGAAAGTTTAGTGAAAAGCGCGAGAACTGGTCCATTGAATGCAAGTGTCTGTCAGTCAGTCCGTGTCGTACAGAATGCGTGCAATTGTGGTGAGCGATGAGTGAAGTGTCGCCCTCTGTATGCCTGCACTGCACTCACACTGTGTGTTGACTTCCTTTTCCTTTTGGACTCATCGTGTGTTCACTTCAATGCAATTTGTTGTCCAAAAAGGTAAGTCTTATTCACTTAATTAGGTTTACATTGAATTATAATTGCAATCAATTAATGGTATAAAATGTATGACAATGTGACGAATGAAGACATATAATGGC